GGGAAAAGTAAAGAGCAGTGAAAAGAGAAAACAAGGGAATAAGTATAAAAGATTACTTTGGGCCATTATCTCCTTTCAGAACTGATTCTTTAAAGTAAAATAAATCATTCTTTCCATTTAAAATACAAATTAGCACAATTCATCTAACTGTAAACTTAAGGAGTGTGCACTTAAACTGAATTTAAGAAAACTGAAGGGCGAAAAAGTACGCATGGTCAAAAACAACCTAAAGCATTTAAATATACTTATGACAGAAAGAGCAAAAAGCAAAACCAGAGAGAAGAAGAATTGTATGGCTGTGAGACTGTTTTTCCTGGGGGCCACTGGGTTGATTCTGATGTACAGAAATGCTAGAGGACACAGTGGCGTTGCCCAAAGGGTTTCCTAGGAAGCGATGATAGTGGTTAAATGCTTGGTACCTACTGAAAAGACTGGTAGTTTCAACCCACCAGTGGTTCTGCAAAAGAAAGATGAGGCAATCTACTTCCCATACAGATTTACCATGCAACCCTGTCCTATCGGTCAGAAGCAGTTCAATTGCAATGGGTTGTACTGGGGGTCTGGATTCTTAACCTGAGCAGATCTCCAGATGTTTGCTCATGCAGGGGCCTGAGTAGGTTCTAACTATAGATATTGTGTTCAGCATCCAAGTACATTAACCACTGTGTTACTATCTGAACTCTGTGTAGACCACGTAAATAAAGATTCCTATCGCAAACCCTAGGGAAATCAATAAATATAATATAGAAAGGTACAGGTAGCATTCTAGTTATTCAAGCAGCATAAAAAATTACCACATTGAATTTTCTATAATATGATCCATATTTACTTGTGTGTTTTTGACTACGGTGTACCTCAATTCGGTGCTTGCATCACATAGTTGTACCTGGCACATGTAAGGAAAGAAAGAAACATTTAGGCAATTAATGAAAAGAAAATTACTTTAAGCAAGATGAAAGAAAAGACTCACTCTTCAGAAAGATAATTTGTCTTCTAATTTTTTTCATATAAAGATTAAGTTGGTTAAAGAAAGAAAACAACAAAAAATACTCTATATATGGATCTATATGCATCTAATAATGGCAAACCAGGCATTTCAGCCCAACCATCATGCTGAGAAAAATTAGAAATGTTGGACAATATTAAAGATATTGCACCACAAAAGCAAGTAAGCAAGTATTTGAAGAGACAAGGTCTCATGAAGAAGAGAAGCCCTGGTGGTGAGACCCACATTAGCACCCCTTTACTCTCAAGGATTTTGCTGATTCAAAATTGCACTTGAGAAGCTAAGTGGGTCACCAGAACTTCCAGCATCGTCTCTAGTCCAGGAAGCACAGAACGGACACGGGTTCGATGAGGAGAGAACCTGGGAAATAGCACAGGGCTATGATCTAACCATAGATGCGGACAATAAATTTAACAGTCCTCATAATACCAGCTTCCCAGTTTCCAAACTCATCCACCGATTGTGATGATAGAACTTCTCCTATCTGCCTCTCAGAGAGGTAAAAATAAGTAGACCCTAGAGGGTGATAATATCATACATAATCTCCAAAACTTCTAATGTTTTATATAAAAAATGGGAATGAAAGGGTTAGCAAGCCTTTCCTCTGTTGGCTCCACTTACTGGAGGTGTCAAAAAGAGCAGAATGAATGATGACTTGGTTGCCCATACCATACCCATTGCTACAGAGTTGATTCTGTCTCATAGCAGCCTTATAGAAGATAGCCTTATAGAACCCACAAAGGGTTTCCAAGGGTATAATCTTTACAGAAATAAATGGCCACATCTTTCTCTCACAGAGCAGCTGGTGGGATCCAATGGTCAATCTTTCAGTCAGCATTGTACCAACAGGGCTCCTAGATTACTTGGTTCCCCTAAGCAATTTGGAGACAAATGAGCTACAATTGGCCAGCTGTAAGAAAGGCTATAATTACTAATATTGACCATTCCAAATGTTGAGACGGATGTAGAGCAACTGTAAGTCACATGCACTCTGGTAGGGTATAAAATCATAAAACCACATTATAAAACAAAAAATTTTCTAAAATATCACAAATATACAACTATCATAGGATCCAGTCTTTCTTTCTTTCCCTTGAGGTCTACCCAAGAAAAATGAAAGTGTATATACACAAAAGACTTGCACAACCCTTTTGATAGCACAAGAAATGGGCAGAAGACATAGACAGGATCCGAAGAGAGGAAACTCAAAAGAGTACACAGAGCACTCTGGAGGGAGGCATAAATACATTCATTGTTTTAATTGTGATGATTTCCCAAGTACCTAATACTCAAAATGTATTGTACAGTTTATTTTAAAGTGATAAAACATTTTAAATTAACCATACCTCAATAAGGAGCCCTGGTTACGTGTTGGGCTGCTAACCACAAAGTCAGCTGTTAGAAACCACCAGTCGCTCCATGCAAGAAAGATGAGCCTTTCTACTTCACTCGCACTGTCTGAAATGTGTGAAATGCATAAAAACATTAATATAAAGGAAATATGTTGCCATTAAATGGAAATAAACGCTGAAAATGAGATATGATCACTCATCTAAAAAAACTAGTAGTGAAGGACGCAACTTAAACCAAAATAATAATAGAACTTTAAAACATGAACCTAAGATAAATAAATGAAACCAAGAAAAAAAATGAAGTTAAGATTGACAAATGAATAATGTGTTTGTTTTTGGAAAAGGATTTTGAGAGCTGTATACCCCATAAAACTGGTCAAGGAGAAAAGAAAACAGGAGAAAAAGGAATATACACATAAATTCCAGGGGGAATGTAGAAGGGGCAATTACTATAGATGATGGGAAATACATACATATTTGACATTTTATGAAATCTCAAAAGTCCAAGAAAAACACAAAACCCCAAATCTAGAAAATTCCTAATAATATATCTGTTAAATAAATTGTCTATAATGAAAATCCTTTCTACTACTAATCTCTATCACCCAGTGTGAACTTTTCCATGCACTTAAAAAATTAATACCAATCACACACAGCCTGTTTCACAGACCAGAAACAGGAACAATATCTCCCCCAAAGTTTCCTGAGATCCCTATTAAATTTACACTAAACTGATAAAGGACATTAAAGAAAATTAATGAATTATATACATAATGGTAGAATGAAAAAAAAACCCTTATATGTGATGAGCAGAATAGTTAACATTTCATTTATACAACCCTCCAGACAATCTGGATTTACTCCGAGAATGGATTTTTACTGGTTTACATTTTGACACTTAACAAAAAACAGGACAAAACTGTCGCTATCACAATAAATACAATGAATCCATTTGATATAAATTATCACCCGTTTCAACATTAAAAAAACCTCAGACATCTACACATATAATAATTAGTGATAAAATATTAAAAACTCACCACCCAGAGATCTGAAAAGGTACAAGGATTCCACTTCTAGGCAACATTTTATGGAGGTACTAATCAAAAATGGGAAAAAAAGAATGCAAAGATTGGACAGGAATAAAGCAGCCTTTTTTCACCAATTTCACGTTGATGTTTCCAGACTATTTAAAAACAATCTAGAGATAATAAGTTAGGATTACTTAGTAAATTTAATAATATTACTGAATACCATGGAGTTAAAATAAACAATTATTTCTCATTATAGCTATTCTTACTAAGCATTTTACACCCACCTTAAGGAACGGCACAACAATCTACAAGGTAATATTTTGAAGGCTTCCATCACATACTCATCAGACAACGTTGAGATATTTTTAACTCTGATTATGTTGCCCTTTTTCCTGAGATCATGGTACCAGAAAGTTAACTTTAGATTACACTTAACATTTAATCTTAGTGGAACAAGAGAGAGAGCATTCTTTGTGATCATAGTACTTATGGCTCCTACTTAATGATCTAATTTATTAGAGGTCAGCTACTTAAAAAATGCTTCACAATGAAATTATTTTCTCCACAAGATTTATTTAAGTATTTTTTCCTTCTATTTCTTACTTTACAGCATAATTTTCTACCTGTTCCATCTTACAAAGGAAGCAAGGAAGAACAAAAAAAAGCAAGGAATAGATCTTTAAAAGAATCATTAGTTACATAACATTACGGGATTATTTCCTTGAATTGTTTTTATTAATTACAAATAAGATGTGCGATCAGAGTGAAACTTCCATAAAACACACATGCATAAACACACATGCATTTCACGTAATTGTGATGAGTAGTGAAGTGTGTTACTTTCAACAGATATGAACCTCCAGATGCATTTAAAACATTTACAATATGTAATACATTTATATATTTGTGCACACATGTACTAGAATATAATTTACTGTCTTTTTCAGTAACAATGTCTCTTATGAATAATTATTGCAGGTACTGATTGGAAGTAAAATCTGAACATTTAAAACATAATCACAGTTTAATTGAATAAAAACAGCTGTTTTCTCACACTTTTATACATGTTTGACAAGTTCTGCTGGATATAGTTATAGAAAAGCAATTACTGTCAGAAATGTCACAAAAATTTAATACACTAAAAAAACTGCAGCAAATTAATTTCTAAAAACCAATAGCATTTTAGACTCCCTCAAAAACATTTTGTCAACATAAAGATACCTTATTGTTTACTTTCCACTTAGTATTAATACTCATTTTTTATATACCCTGTATGCATTTTACTAATTCCATTTGTCAAAGACTCCATCATTCAATAGCTATTTTAGTACAGATATTAGATATTAAACATTTGTACACATAGATATAGGCATATCCCCTTAATGAGTTCTTATAATTTCAGTTATACTCTATGTATTTCCTGTTCCTGAATTGGTTATGATATATAATCTATTTCTATAAAAAATTTCACATAGACTTTTTCCAAAGTATAATGTATTGTGTTTTATATAATGAGCAAAACCAAAACCCCACTGTCATTAAGTCAATTATGACTCACTGCGACCCAAATATTATTTCTGAGACTATTAAATCTTATTTTTTTTTTTTTTTGAGCATGAGCGCAGTTCCCCACTACCACAAATTATGCAGTCCAGTTTCCCACATTTGGGGAATTAGCAGGGATGAGCACATCCGGAGGGCAATGAATAAGCTTTGCCCTGGGAAAACCAGCTTCCTGATCATGGTATCTCCCCTGCGAGGTAAGTATGAGGCTATTAAATCTTACCAGGAGCCTCATCTTTCTCCTGCTGAGTGGTTGGTGGGTTTGAACCTTTCAATTAGTAATCTAATGCTTATTGTACAGCACCACCAGCATTCCTTTATATATATTAACTACAGTAGGTATTTAATATTGTACTTTTTGTTATTTCATTTTTACTTTTTTTTTTTTTGTAAATCCAGGGATAATTGACCTTACGATTATTATCCAGGTCCACATTAGCATTAGAGGGGCAACTATAACAAACGATTTGGATATTTTATTTGTGAATACAATAAAGTTTTCTTAATTTGGATATAATCTGGTATTTTCATACATTAAAACATATAAATTGGATGTTTTGGCTTACAAGATTTTACGTGCGAGGTTCTTAAACACTTGTTTTCGTTTTGCTTTTGTCCTTTTTACATGCATAGAAATATTTGAATTAACTATTAACATTCTAACATATTTTATTAGTATACTTTATTTTAAACATCCACATAAAACAAATATCCGTGAACTGCGCAATTTTTACCTTGTCTCGAACAATTCAAAATGGCGCCATCTCAACCGAAGTTGACGAAAACAGGAAAACACGAGGTAAATTTTTCTAACCCTGAAAGAAAAAATAGATCTGTCAAAACAGAATTCTAAAAGCAAGCAACAATTTCCTTCAATTGGGACACTGAAAAAAGACACAGTCGCTAAATAAACCCAAGACAATTTGGTGAGGGACGACAAGTACGCACCGCTGCTGCCGGCAAATCCTTGGGAATGTAGGGAAATGACCCCTGAATATGACCCCTCAATATGACCCCTGAAAATAACTACGGCAACCTCGAAGAGCCCAAATTTGACGAGAGGGCCGAGGGAGCGCCCTCTGATGGTAGACATTAGTATGGCAGCTGACTAAAATTTTAAACCAAGAATTTCTGACAACTTTCCTCTAGTTCCTAAATGTTTCCTCCCTGCTCCCACTACCATGACTCGAATTCGATCTTGCAAGTCTGGCTAGACCAGAGGAGGTACACTGGTACAGATAGGAACTGAAAATACAGGGAATCCAGGATGGATGAGCCCTATAGGACCAGTGGTGTGAGTGGCAAAACAGGGAGGGTAAAGGGAGAATGGGTAGGAAAGAGGGAACCGATTGCATGGTGCTGTGTGTGACCTCCTCCCTGGGGGACAGACAGCCGAAAAGTGGGTGAAGGGAGACGTCGGACAGGGCAAGATATGACAAAATACCCATTTATAAACTATCAAGGGCTCATGAGGGAGGGGGGAGCGGGGAGGGAGGGGAAAAATTAGGACCTAATGTCGGGGGTTTAAGTGGAGAGAAAATGTTTTGAGAAACGATGTACAAATGTGCTTTACACAATTGATGTGTGTATGGATTGGGATAACAGTTGTATGAGCCCCTAATAAAATGTTAAAAAAAAAAAAGAATTTCTGTAGCATCAGAACTATATAAGATAATAATTGATATTCATTATAATAGAGGCACTGAGATTGTTCCAGAATCCTGAGAAGGAATATGAACTCGGTATCTTGAAGGGGTATAAAATATATGAGTATTTTTAAATAACCATAAATTAAAGTTCAATAGAAGAATTTAAGTTTAATAGTAATAAATATTCAATCCATGCAAAAATAGGCTTGAAAGAATGACTATAGAACAGAAATCTCAGGGGAAGATAGCCAACCTTTAAACTATTAATAATGAAATTTAGATTTTAAAAAGCTTATACATTCCAATAAAGAGCTTTCCATACTAGAAGGAAAAAAAACAAACATATAAACAACTAGACATAGCTATGCATATATGCTATTTATCTGAGAGGCAATTTAAATATATAGTTATATTGAAAGTAACAATATAGACAATTATGTAGCAAGGAATTGTACATTGCTGCACCAAAAGAGACTTAAAGAATAAGAGTAGAACTACAACTATAGAACAATATTTCAATTTTCATTATGGTTATCAAATTCACTTATTACAGTTACAATAATCCCAAATGGCTACGAGCCTAATACCAGCATTCCAAAGTACAAGTTTCCTCTGCTTTTCAAGTTTGCAAGATGGCACTTCACTTCACCTACAATAGTCTAGAGTTTTGAAAACCAAAAAGAAGTTGATTAAGTCCCTCACTGACCCATAGCGCTATAAGGAAGAGTACTGGAGACACCATAAGGGAGTTGTGTCCAATCTGACCCACCACACCGGGGCAAAACACTAAGGCCCTGCAGCTGAGCAGCAGGGGAAGCAAAGCAAGGAAGTCCCTGAGGAATACCAAAAACAGACTTTGGGACAGGACGTAGCACCCCATCAAACTCAACTGGATAAAGGTCAACAGTCAGACCTGGAATGATTAATAGGCTTTTCCTTTTCGGCTGTTGGCTTTTTTTTCGTTGCTGTTGCTTTATTTTGTTGTTATGTTTCACTTTGCTTTGTTTTTGCGCTTATTATTGTCACTGCATGGGACTGAAGGGTCCTGGAGAACACAGGGCAGGGGGGCGGGGTGGGGGGGCTTGCCAACAAACCCAAGGACAAGGGAAGAATAAGTGATCTAAAATTGACGGTGAGGAGGGCATAGAATGCCGGCGGAGGGGCGGGGGCCGGTGGGGGCTTGATTAAGGGTAATGTAGCCAAGAGGAATTATTGAAAAGCATATTGAAAAGCAAAATGAAGGCCGACCATGATAGTGTGACAAGAGAAAAATAAAAGGAAATAGAGGAAAGAACTAGGAGGCAAAGGACACTAACAGAGGTCTAAATACAGGCATGTACATAAGTAAATATATCTATATATAACAACAGGGAAATAGATCTATGTACTTATATTTATAGGTTTAGTCTTAAGGTAGTACATGGACATGGGGCCTCAACTCAAGTACTCCCTCAATGCAAGAACACTTGGTTCTACTAACCCAGCCCTCTGTGATGCTCACCTTCCCTGACACGATTGCTGAGGACAAAATGGGTGCCTAAGCAAATGTGGTGAAGAAAGCTAATGGTGCCCAGTTATCAAAAGATAAGAGTGTCTGGGGTCTTAAAGGCTTGAAGATACACAAACAGCCATCTAGCTGAGAAACAATAAAGCCCACAGGGAAGAATCACACCAGCCTGTGTGATGATGAGGTGTCGATAGGATCAAGTATCAGACATCAAAAACTCAAAACAAAACAAAAGTCTTATCAGTGTGAATGAGGGGGAGTGCAGAGTGGAGACCCAAAGCCCATCTGTAGTCAGTTGGACATCCACTTTCAGAAGGGTCACAAGGAAGAGATGTGTCAGTCAGGGTGCAGTATAGCACCAATGAAACATGCAACTCTCCTCTAGTTCTTCAATACTTCCCTCCGCCCATCATGACCCCAATTCTACTTTACAAATCCGGCTAGACCAGAACATGTACACTGGCACGAATAAGAGCTGGAAACACAGGGAATCCAGAACCAATAATGAGAGTAGCAATTCTAGGAGGGTAAGGGAAGGGGCAAGGGGAATAAGGGAGTAACTGATCACAGTGATTGACATAATGCCCCCTCCCAGGGTGACAAACAACAAAAAAGTGGGTGAAGGTCAGTGTAAGACATTAAAAAAATAATAATAATTTATAAATTATCAAGGGTTCAGAGGGAGGGTGGGGGAGGGAGGGGACAAAAAGGAGCTGATACCAAGGGCTCAAGTAGAAAGAGAATGTTTTGAAAATGATGATAGCAACATAGGTACTCATGTGCTTGACACAATGGATATAGGTATGGATTGTGATAAGAGCTGCAAGAGCCCCAATGAAATGATTAAAAAGAAGAAGATGGTCACTCACACACACATGCTATCTTTTAGCACTGGTTTTGCAATGAGCAACCGAAGTGGAGGCAGTGTTCATCTGAAGTGGTGTCTTCAAGCTCCTTCTTTGAGAACTAAATTCAGCATCTCAAGATCAAGCCCCCAGTAGTTGGAATGACCTCTATGAACGCTATTTCAGTGTTCATTTAGGTTATATTACTTGGTATAATTTGCTAGGTAATATCTTGGGTCTGGGAACACTTGAAAATTGGTCACATATAAATGAATGATCATGGCTTTTTCACTTCTCGCCTTAAGAAGTGTTTCATAGCAACATGCTCCTTTGAGATAGCAAGGGGAAACCTGTACATGAAACTAAACTGGGTAACTGTGTTTGTGGTCTTTTGTTTGTTTGTAATTGTTTGGGGGAAGTTTCCCTTTTCTGCTATAATTTGTATTTTTCTCTTTTGTTTCTTTGAAACTAATAGGGATTTTAATGCATATTGGATAGAACTGTTGCCTATTGACATTTTTCTATTCATGTTCTCTGACCTTTCACTTGAGTTTCGGTCATTTTTTAAAAAATTACTGAAGGCCAGAAACTATATATATGGAAATTGTACCAATAATGCAATGTGTGAAAACACTTGGTATGGCTATTCTACTCATGGTCTTTGTAAATTCCAACAAATTATTAGAAATAGGAAGTATGTCCAATCCCAACTACATGGACACCTGCCCCTCCCCCCTGAAGAATTTATTTCAGAGGACAGCACTCAATCTGCAGCTCTGGGAGAGGGAAATGTTTGATCAGAGCACACGGGAGCAAACGAAGGGGGAGGAAGAGAGAGTGGAACACATCCTGGCCTACCAAGCCTTGAGGACAAGATTCCCCCTCAGAGCAGCGAATCCACAGAGAAGACCATATGGCTGGCCCCACTATGAGACATGACATCCCTCACTGACCCATACCCCTACAGGGGACAACACTGGAGACACAGAGTGGGAATTGCGCCCCATCTGATTCCACCACACCGAGGCAAAACACTAAGGGCAGCAACAGAACACCAAGGGGAACAGAGCAATGAAGTCCCCAGGGAATACCAAAAATAGACCTTGGGGCCAGGGCTTGGCACCCCATCAGACTC